TGAGATGAGAGCACATTGTTCCCAAACAGATGTAAATTCTTCTATAGTAAGAGAATGTTCCTCCATTATGTTAGGATGTATCTTTTCCTTTAATTGCTCTCCGGTTCCCTCTAGTTAACCTTCTTTTATTTATTTTCAGAGCCAAAACTTTCCCACAACAGGTTTTCTTACAATTAAGTCCAAAAACATCTGCTGTATTTTTATAGAATTTAAAATAGTCCATTAAAGAAACCCTATTCTTTCAAATCCATCTGGCCCCTTAACTGTCCCCAGTCAGCATTCTTCCTTTCGCTGTTTCCAAAGGTTAATTTTTCTTTTTAATCTTTAAATTTATTTAAATCTTCTTTCTTCTAGGATAGAAGGAAATCCTCCCAGTGTATAGCAACTTGCCTTTCAGAAGATTTTTAATGGCCAAGTAAATTGGTAATAAGTAATTTCTGATGGTAATTAAAAGAGGAAGGGAAAGCAAATCTAGTGTCCTTTTGAAGGCTCCGCACCTCGGCTTGGGCTCAATGTTTCCTGCAACTGCCCGAGTGCTCAACCTGCTGGAGATCGCTAAAATGCGATCTCTTCACAGGGAGCCTCCGTAAGGAGTACTTGTGGGTGATTCAGTCATCTCCTTTGTCCAGAGATGGTTCTGAAGAGCCAGACCTTTCACCGGCTCCTCTAAGCTGCTGCAGTTGAGCCGTCCTCGATCTGCCATTACTCCCCCAGAAGTCAACATACTTCTTTTTGTACTCATCAGTCACTTGTATTTTCAATCCACATCACTCAGTGCTCATTCATTCTTGACTGTATCCTTTTGTTTTCCTACCAGTACTTAAGTACTTTATTGCCACTTGTTCAACTTGCTTTTACACTTCTCCTGACATACCCAACTCTCAATTCCACATAACAATATAGGTAGAAACTTGTCCTTATGTCCTTATACACAGCCATGTTCAACTTTTGACAAACACACATTCCTTATATCAGTCTGCATACTACCCTCTACTTTTCTGCCAACACTTGCACATCCTAGAATTTTTCCATTCATTTTCCCATCTCTTTTGCCATTTATCAGCTTAGTATTTCAACAAGTCAGGAGTTCTAATTGTGCTAACACTGAAATAGTCTTAAATTTTTTCACAATATTTTATACAATGATTTGCACTTAAATGCTGTATTATTGCTCTTTATTTAAAAAACAGACTGAAGCATTCTAATGGGATGTGATGAGCTGGCCTCTCCGGTTCCCTTGAGCAAGGGGATCCCTAATTCCTTCTCCCCCACTCCCAAATCCTATTTGGTAAACACTGTCATCAATTTCTCTTCTCCCCCACACCAAATCCTCTCTGGTGCTGAATTACTCAGGATTAGGTGAAGGGATAACCTCCTCCTCCTGTTTTTCTTCCTCTTCATAGATTGACAAAAAACTGTAGGAGATGCATATGCTATGGTTAAAATCATTTCAAAATGACAGTGATGATTCAATAGAAATTCAACTCTAAATTACAGATATCAAAGTTAAGGAGCTGAAGTTGGAGTTGAAAGCCAAAAGTGGAAAAAAGAAAACCATTAACTCTGCAAGTCTGATCTCAGCAGCTGTTTCTGAGATAGGACTAATACTCACATTCACAGGCAGAACAAATAGAACAAAATATAATCAAGTCACTGATCTCAAATAATTTTCTATAAAATATTTTTTTTTAATGCTAATATGGTTCTAGTGCAACTATCCCCTAGATCAGGGTTCCTCAACCTTGGCGACTTGAAGATGTGTGGACTTCGACTCCCAGAATTCCCCAG